CCCACGCCTCGACAGGTCACGAAGAACACAAAACGAAGAATTGATCGCCGGAAACCTGCCGCTACTACCCCTTCCGTGCACGCGACCAGAGAACCAAACACCGCACCTCCGTCTTGCTGATGACGTTGTCTCCGTCCGTGTCCGGCTGCTTGAACTCTTCGTACTCCATGTTGTCCTGCTGGATGCTGCGCGCCTTCGGCCTTGTCGCCCCTCCTCCCAACCCGCCGCCCCCGGCCCCCAGGTCCACGCCGGCGTCCTCGGCAGCCGCCACCAGTTGCATCAGCTGCACGTCCGCCTCCTGCGACCGGCCGGCCGACCGACAAACCAAAACACGAAGCCGCAGCCGCAGCCGCAGCAGCAGCAGCAGCAGCAGCAGCAGCAGCAGCAACAGCAACAAGCAGCGTCATGCCTGTTAGAGTCAGATGCATGCTCATCCCCAAAAAACACAGCAGCAGCCACAGCAGCAGCAGCAACATGATATCCAGTTGCATCAGGTGCGTGCTCATCCTCTCCGCGTCTCGGTTATCGGCAGTCCAAAAACAACAAAAAGTACATGCTCATCCCGCCCGCGTTTCAGTTACCAGCCGCCAAAGATAACAACAGGCAGAAAAAACCGCAGCAGCAGCAACAGCAGCAGCAACAGCAGCAGCAACAGCGTATCCAGTTCGCGTCAGGTGCATGCTCATCCCCCCGGCGTCTCGATCATCAGTCGACCAACAAAAAAAAAATCCAGTTGCGTCAAGTGCATGCATGCATGCACGTCCCAGGGTTTTAAGTGGTCACGGCTAAATCTTTCCTGGTGACCAATCATGTCAGGCACATACACGTCTTCTCGCCGACACATCATCAACAACAACAAACGACCCCCCGGCCATGTCCATCTTTATTGATGCGTGTTATTCTTGTGTACGTGTATCTCACCTCGACTTCGTGGGCCAAAAGCTTGATGGGGTACGTCCGCCTAGCCATCAAGGCATCTCGCTCCTTGTTCCACTCCGCCACGAAGGCCTGATTATTTTTTTGTCCAAAGGTCCGACGATCGATGTACAACGTCGAGCCATCGGATGGTTGGTAACCAACGACATGTCATCAATAACGAACAGCAGCAGTGATTGGTCAACGTACAGGCGCGTTATCAACCAGCAACAAAGGAGTATCAATGTAGACGCAGACACCAATTCGACGACCTTGCCTCTCGGTGGTATGGTCTTGTCTCAAACTCTCAACTCGTGCTCCACCTCAATGTCCCCATCATCCATCATCCATCTATATCCAATCGTCTGCGCGCTTGCATTTTCATCGCCGATTTGACCTCTGTACAACAGAGCACGGTACTCCCGTGCGCCTTGTTCCTCACCGATGACCCTTGGGTCGAGCAACCCTATCTACCGTTCTCGGCCCATTACCTTTTCCAGGGGATTCGATTTCCATTTTCTCGAAGCTTTCGTTTTGTACGCATACATAACATGTGTACACTGCTGTGCGTAAAAAATTCGTTTGAGATACACCAAAACACCGACGGATGAAAGGTAGGCTTTGTTTCGCCGGTCCCACTCTCACCGCCGACTCCTGTTCGAGCAGCTTGTTTCCCTTCTTGGCTGATCGCGCGCTCCACCACCACTCGATCGAGGCTCCCGCGATCGCTCCGGCGAGGAGGACCAGCTTGTTGCTCCTGTCACGTCATACCCACGTCAAATCAACAGGTCAAGGTACATCACATCACATCAAGTCGCAACACGTCAAATCATCACGTCAAGACACATCACATCACATCACGTCGCACCACATCAAATCATCACTTCAAGGCACATCACGTCGCACAACATCAAAACATCACGTCAAGGCACATCACATCACATCACTTCGCACCACATCAAATCATCACGTCTAGGCACATCACATCACGTCAAGGCACATCACGTCGCGTCACGAAGCATCACATCGCGCGTCCCCATCACCCCACGGGCAGGAGTAGTCTTCGCATTCGTGATTGCACGCTAGCATCGAGGCGCGCGGGGGAGGGAGGGAATTACACAGCAGTTATACTTTGCAGCTGCATGCAACAAGATCAACGAAATAATCGAAAACAGTTGGCAATGAGGTCGGTAGTTGCTGTTCCAACAACACCAATACTTGACCAACTCTTCAGCGATGGGGAACAGCTTGATGCTGCTCACACGTACTTAGGGACTGTTCGTAGGGCGTCGATGCGGCTTCTATTTGAATCGTCGCTCTTATCACCTTGCCAGGCAAACACGTACTATAATAGCGCAGGCCCGCCCAGCTACAGTGTTCTCCGGCTTATGCAAATCAAAGGGTCCTTCTTCTACCCCACCGACTAACATTCTCTCTCTGCTGCCCTGCCGCGGCCTCTTGGTGACTTCTCGAGGTTTTGGTGCCAGCCCGAGAAGCCATTTGGCTCGAGTTAATCCACTGACATCTATATCTCATCAACCAAATTCCCTGTCACCTATTCACCTGCGTTCTTCCGTAGCAAAAATGATCCGACCTCTCTTTTATCCATTCTTGTGCATTATCGCCTCTGCTTGACCGTCCCTTTTCTCAGCTGTTCCCTCCCGTCAGTCCACTTGTCTCTCCCCCCTACCTACCTACGCCTCTTCGACACAACCTCTTCGACACAACCACTGGATCTCTCGCTCGTTGATCCTCTTTCTACAATCTTGCGAGTGCATGTGGATTTTTTGGCGTTAACGTGCTCACCTATCTTCTTTGAACTTGACCTGTCCGTTCGTCTTCGCTATCGATCCAATCCATCCTTTCTCTACAATTATCTCCCGAGTCCATTTGCATTCTTCAGCGCAAACCCGCTCACCTATCTTCCCTGAACTTGACCAGTCCGTTCGTCTTGGCTAGATACAAGTCTTTCACATTCTTAGGCGCTCACCTTTCTCTGAGCTTGACTATCCGGTTCGTCTTCGCTATCGATCCAATCCTCTCTCTACAACCTTCCATTCTTTGGCGCAAACCCGCTCACCTCTCTTCCCCGAGCTCGACTAGTCCGGCCGTCTTGGCTAGATGCAAGTCTTTTGGGTTCTTCTGTGGGCAACATGGACCTTTGTCTCTCTCAAATAGACTACTGTAGAATTGCACAAACTTCCATGGGCAGACACACAGAATCAACCCTCACGCAGATTCTCTCACTCTAGCCAGTTGGACCAGCGCGAATTTTACAAAGTTCCGGAACGCTTGCAAGCTGTGAAGACGACGATGAAAACAACTTACCCCTGCGGTTCTTGGTATAATCCCGCCCCCTGGTGATGTTCTTGCATGCGGGCCCCGAAGTATTCGTCCTCATTCATTGGTCTGCTTTCGTATACACCGCGTGATCCCCCCCCCCCCCCCCCCCCCCCCCCCCCCCCCCCCCCCCCCCCCNCCGAATCCCCCACCCACCCCACATAACCCGTTGTAGCGGCGGTAGATCGTTTGAGCGAATCACAGGTGTGCCCGGGCGCAAGCGCAAACGCACAAGAAACAGAACAGACAGAATTGTAGACGGAGCGCTTGTCAATTATCTTCCTTGACCACAAAAAAAAACTAACATGTTCGGCAATTTGGTTTCCCCCTCCCTGTCGTGCAATGCCCCCCTCGGTGTTTGCCATCGGGATTGGGTTTTCATCGCTTGGCAACGACGTTGTAAAACAAGCCAATTCACTTCCTGAGCTCGGCAACCAGGCTACCGTTTTCTTTGTACCTCCGTTTTTTTTTGGCGGTAACCATAATGGTGGTCGAGTAGATCATGTTGTGCGGGGTTGAGAACCCTCACTCCGCGCAAGGGGGATGGTCGCACCACGTTGTGTTGAAATGATCAAGCATCCTCGAGGCAGTGACAGAGTGCTTACAACTGTCTCTGGAAGTGAAGCACCAGAAAGTAAATTAAGTCATACGCAGCTGTCATCCGTACGCAAGGAAGTAAGCACAAGATGCCGAAAACCCTTAGCAGGATGCAGCGCACCCTTCATACGACTCGCCGAATACATCACGGCGCTTCGCGCTTGGTGATGTGAGAGCCTGGTCCGGTGAGAACACGGCGTGCTCCGTCCCGGCTTCGTAGGGATGCGAGGTCAATGGTCTAACGACTACGGCATGCACGACTATGAGTACACCCTCCCTCCCCCCCACTCCTCCCTGTCTCTGTTTCTCTCTCTTGTCACATTGTTGGGCGGAAACCAGACGTAACTGCCGTTTGCAGTCCCGTTGGATATCAACAATTGCGGTCATACTGCTGTATGGGACAAATTAGGCTGGACCGAAGGTACATCAGGACAGCGGTACGTGGATTTTTACCGATAAATTTCGGGTGTTTGGGCAGAGGTTTATGTCTCCATGACGCACACCACCATCTGAGTAACACTACGCGACCGTGTTTTAGCCCCCGAAAGGTAAAATACATGCATGCAGATGCGGGTTACAACCCGTTGTGTAGATAGCAAAGCGTCCAAATTCGATTACCTTTGCATGATTTATTAGGTACGTATTGGATTTGTTTTGTTGTTCTCCATCCTAATTTTCCCGTCCTTTCCCCTCGTATCCTCCTTATCGTAAGAACGGCGGTGCACTCAATAGGGTAAGTAGACAACTGCTGTGGAAATTAAGGAAGTTAACACAACAAAGCAGGGTGGTTTGCGCTGGTTACATACACATCCATCATTCAGTTCGTGAAGGTTCATATGTCCCTCCCCTAGAGCTTGTAGATACTCTCCTTGGCGTGTGCGTTGGGCGCAGCAGTGCTGCAGTGCGTGAGTCCCATCTCGGTTTCGGGTATGTCCGGTCTTGAGAACCATCGCATCTATTCCCGGCCCCCACTTGTGGCGAGATTACTACAGCAGTTGACTTTTACCCTACTTTTACCCGCCTTAGAAGCCCTACACTTGTGTAAAAGCAACCCAGCGTGAACCGCGGTGTACATGCACACGATGAACGCTGCAGGGAGTCTTCCTACAATGCATACGGTATGCCTAGGATGCCGCACCGCAGCACGTGTGCAGCAAGCAGCAACACACACCGCCGCCATGTGTTCAATTTCTGCTGGGGGGTTGAGGTTTGCTCGCCTGCGGAAGGCCGGAGAGGCACCCAACATATTGTCAAAAAAAGTAACGTCTCTGTCCTTCGGGGATGCTAACTCGACAAGGCCTGTTCGCGCACTTGTAATAAGCCAGCTTGGTTGCGCGAGGGCGGGGACAAAGCGAGAGGAAGAGAGGCCGCTGGTCGGGGAGGTGAACATGCTGCATTGATCGGGGCAACACAGACGGCTCTGGTCGCGACACGTATTTATCAGCCCGTGTGCCGCAACCAACCCGATCAAGAAGGGCAAAAGAGCCCATCAATGAACAGCCACGTGGAACACCAAGCGCTCTACGCTAAACGACATTATCGTATGACAACTACTGTCTCCTCGCCGACTGCTGAGCAACGCACCCTCGCCCTCTGCTGCTGGCTGTCTCATGACAAAGATGAGCGGTATGTGTTGAGCGAACGACCCCTGTTGCAGCTCTCCCCCACAAACAGTATGTGCCTGTCTATACATTTGTGGACACTTTCAAATCCCAAACGCCCGCCCATTCCACGAGCAGCGTCGAGAACTTCCCCGCCCTGCAACGCTCCATCGCACCTGTCGTCGTACCCCGCCACCATGACCGATGTCGTCAAGGACAGCACGCACACAAACACTCGCCGTCCGAGCATGGTTGCCGCTGTTGTTTTCCGTGTGTGTGACCAGCGGCTGGCTGCTTTGCAGTGCTCCACACGCACACACACAACCACTGCTAGGGTTTACCTCAGCCTTCCTTGCGACCTTGCTTTCGGGTTTCTCGAAGGCTGGAACACCGGTGACAGCTAGCTAGCCCTTTCGTTAACGCACAGGATGCAGCAGGCACGACGACGATCCTGGTCCCAAGACTTGCAGTGCTCTATTTTCGTTTATTTTTGCCACTCCCATTTTTCCGGGGTGTTGCCGCCTGACGAACTCCTGTCTTTACGAAACCCAGGTTTTGGATCGTGGATCCTGCTGGTGGATCGTACCGTGGATCGCGTGGGAGCTGTTGGGTCAGATTCCCTCTCACAGACTGCCACCTCGCGTGTGGTAGTGAGAGAGAGAAAGAGAGAGGTCCACCAACTATGGTAGCTGGTGCAGCAGATGCTGGGGAGCTGGAGCGGCAGGAACTCGCGGCGTATGCTGCTTTCGACAAGGTGCTAACAGCAGGCTGAATCCACAAGGAGGCACCGCTCTTTGTACCGAACACGCCATTGGATAAGATACCGATGGGGCGGCAATCAACGCACCCCGATTTCCAACCTCGGCTTCCTGGACACGGCAAAGTGTTGAGAAGCACGATGACCGCTGGACTACTTGTCAGCATCGTGCTTCTCAACACAGAGTTGTGTAGACTTCCCTCACCGCAAGCCCGTGTATGACGTATATCATTGTCGACACGGCCTGCACGCTGTCATTTTAGTCTGGTCTGAAGTTGCTGTCGTTGTTGTGCATGGCGTACAAAATGGCACCTTCAGATAGACGAGGATGGCAATGGCTACATCATGGTCGACGAGCTCCACGGCCTGGTGGAGTCGTTAGGCCTGCCAATTGCGCCCGAGGAGCAAGACGAAGCCCTGGAGGCGGTGAGATTTGTGCAGTTTACAACTTACCTAGCTCGCCCGCCAAGCATCACCGCTCATGACCTCTGTCGACCACCGGAAGACTTTCTGCAGTACACTTCGTACTGTGTAGACGACGCACCTTTTCCTTTCGCCACTAAATTGCATGGACAGATTTTCCTCCACTGCAGCAGACCTATTCGACCACTGCGTTAATTTTTTTTCCGTGCATTCTGCTTGTTGGGCGCTATGTGGTGGGACTACCGCCAACAACAACAAAAACAGCTGGACGGCGACGGCGATGGGGTTCTCGATCGGGAAGAATGGAAGAAGTGGTGGGTGCAGCGATGGCAGGCAAGCGCGGCTGTCGGAGGACTAACGGGTGCGGAGGAGGAAAGCGGGATGTCCACCTGCGAAAACGACGAAAGCAACAACGAAGCAAGCGGTGGTGGCAGTAGCGGTAACGCCGAAAAGGTTAGCAGGCTCTCAGAACGCGCGAGGCAGGCGCGCCGGCGAGCCGGCACGGACATCCACACTGCGGCATGGAGGGGAGACCTTGCTCTCGTCCAGGTGCGCCGCCGAAGCGTTAACCACATGACCACATACAAACGTGTCAAAGGCTGCCAGATGACACGATTCTGCACTATGCCTGCACTTCTGCACCATGCGTGCAGTTCCGCGCCATGCCTGCCGTAACCGGGTGACCTCCCTCCCCCGCGTTTCTGTGTGCGAACTGCCCACCAACATGTGCAGCGAATCTCGCACACCGTACGCCCGAATGCTGAGGACCGCCCCCCCCCCCCCCCCCCCCCCCCCCCCCCCCCCCCCCCCCCCCCCCC